TATTATATACATAATTATGTGTGTTTGTTACTCCTATAATTAACAAACATTCACCTTATTGTTTTTGGAACCTAGGTTAAGAAGAAAGTAATAAATTAGGAAATTGAAGATTTTACCTGACTGATTGTAATTTTTGAATTATGAAAAATTAATATTCCCTTTAAATTTTATTTTCTTAAATTAATCTAAATTTTACCAAGACAGGATTCACACGTAAATCTTAGTTTAACAGTATTATGTTTTTGACATTGACCGTGTGAATAAAAAGTAGAATGAAGATGTTCTCCTGCCAATTTGGTTCGGACCGAAGTACTACTTTGCGGTAAAAAAATATCTACATACAACAGGATACATATACAGGATACTCTTAAATGATTGTAATATTCCAGTACGCACATATTTAGTAGTAGGAATACAGACTTTAGAGGGTTTTATATTTGATTAAAAATATTATCAATAAAATACACTTTTGTCACTGAATCGCATTTGCCCTACTGGAATAAAAACCTATTTTATTAATTTTTTCTAAGGGATTTGTTTTCGTTTTGCCTTTTACGTAATCTATGTTTATACCTCTCATAATAATGATATTGAATGTTGTGCAATGTCCCACTCGAAATAGGTTATTATATCGTTTTTATTATCGTTAGAGAGCCATGCTTTTTCACATGTGGGCCAGGCTCGACCGAACAAAAAAACGGTGTTAAGCAGTTCCTTTATTGCTTTTCACCAAGTGAGTGAGTGAGGTTACCGGAACCCCCTTCTCCTGATTCAGGGGGCGGACTGTAAGGGCGACAACTCACTTGTGGTTCTTAAGGTGCACGTGTTAATGGGTTGCGGTAATCACTTATCATCAGGTGACCGTTCTACTAGTTTGCACCCCTGTAATATAAAAAAACTAACACCAGTCACCTAACGACAAACATTCTAGTGTTGTTGTTGTTGTTTTAAAAAGACTAGGTACCACTAAATTCGCGGGGCAAAAGCAATTTGCAATGCTGCAAGTCCAGCAGTAAGCCTGCAACACCGGTTCACGTTCGCGCAATCCATTCGGCTAGAGATCATTTTTAGAACGCTGTTGGTGCTGCCCCGCACTGTTTATACATTACTGTATAGAAGCAATCAACGCGGGCTTCTGCAAACATCCCTGAAGCACTACAGAAATGTGGCAACTACATCAGCACCAATTACATGTGTAAAATTTCAATCGTACCATATTTTTAACACTCGTTACAGAATGAACATGAACAGAAGGCCAATTCTCGTAATTAAATTTCGGTCTCTATTTAGTTCCGATCAACTTTCGATCTCGCAACTGTTATAAAATGTATCTTCGTAGTAAAATAGTAAAGTATTACCAAGACCAGCAGATTACCGACCCGCGACTTCGTTCGCGTGGAATTTGAAAAGCGCTGCTTTAATGATGCAGTACGGTACGCGACTGCAGTCCATGAGGCCTCGGGTTCGATTCCCGGACTGGGCAAGTTTTATAGGGTTTTTCTGAGAAGGAAAAAAGCCTATATGGTATTAAAATTTTATCAAAGTTGGTCTAGCCGTTTTGAAGATTACCCGGAACAAACAGACCAGACAGACGGAAAAAACCGTGTGAGCATGAAAAAAACTAAGGGTGCAAAATACACAGGACCACAGCACTGCAAAGAGAATGAAAACTTGAAACAAACCCTATCTGTGCCAACCCGTCTGACCAGCGTTCTATAGTAAGCTAGAACCTCCTTTCTAAGGAGAGGCCTATGTAAAGCAGTGGACTACTAAAGGTGGTGGAAGATGATGATATATAGAAACTAATAATCCTGCTCATCATTTAGTCATCAGTTCATCACATACCTTAAGTCGGAATAGAATCCAGTACCAGCAGTAGAAAGACCTGGTTAAAATAATAAATAGTGTATGTCTTACGCAAGAATATTAATAATAAAGAAAACAAACGTAGAGCTTCATTCCATGTGCTTGTATGTTGAAATGTGAATGGAATCGTGCGCACATTTTGCTACATATGTTAGATAAAATGGGAATGAGTATGCACCGTCTATGCATATAGATAAAGATATGCCTGCAACTAAATGTGCTATGGTTTTAGTGGTCACCAAGACATAATATTTATAATATTGATAATATATCGATACAGATACTGGAATCATTGACGCCTGACGTTTTAAGAGGAAGGGCAGGCAATAATATGGTATTGTCACTATGCATTCATTCGTGTAATTACAGTTTTTATATTGTAGAATAGTATTCCTGTAGTCAACATATTGTCATGAGGATACTAGAACAGGATAAAACGTGCCCTTCGACTTTTTAATAAAATTATGCATTTAGTGTTTTAATAATTATTATCAGTGTGAAATTTGTTTGAAGACCCCTGTTTTATGCCTTTTGAAGATACATATTGGTAAATAGACAGATGTAGATCATCCTTTTAACTTTATAGAGTAGCGTCATGGAGCCCCGTCCCCAAAAGATATAATTTTTATAATTAGGCTGGCCTAGAAAGAGTGAATGCTAATTTCATTAAATATGCGACCGAGTATGCTAGTCCAATATTTCCGAATAGCATTAGTTGTAATATTATCCTTAACATTAAGTGTATGTGCTCCTCTACGCATGACCGCTGAAAATTAACGACATAGATATGAAAAATATGGTACGTAAGGTAGTTAGTATTAGTCAGGACTGTGTTCGGTTACAATGTGTCAACGTGATTAACTCGTACAAACAATATGTACATAGGTATTAAGTTTTACTCAGTTGCGTTAACGCTGACCGTGATGTCTCTTCTGGCTTATTTTCCTGTGTAAATGATCTCATTCCTATTATAGAATCTTAGTACCTAGTATAAGTTATTTATTAGTTAAAATATAGTGGTATAAGTGTTTTGGCTGTCGAAGCGCTCCGTTAATCCCAGTGTATGTTTTCTGCGTATAATATTGCCTAAAAATATGTTTAATAAATTTAAAAAAACGTTGAGTTTCAAAAAATGTAATAAGAGAAGGGTTGTTAGTGAGGACGTAAGTACGACAATATTTCTCATAACTTTTCATTTGACGATTGAGTAATTCTCGATTTGGATCGATATTTGTTGTCTATAGGCACATGCTTGTTCTATAAACAAACAAATTCCTTTTCGGTGTTGAGTTTGATTATTTATATTACGTACATACAGCACAATGTCTGTGCTCGAGTAAACATTCGCCGGATGACAGCGATGTAGTGAAGACATTATTGGCAGTGGGCTACTACTGTTCTGTCATCATGTACTTACGTAACTAATCGGGAGTGTAATCAATCAATCTTGAACGTGGCGATTACTAACTTTGGTACAGTGTGTTGTCATGTGCAATGATCAAATGTATCCAATGCGTGATGCGTCGAGCCTCAATGTTGCAGCTTCTTCATGAATGTAGCTGTCATCTGACGGAGACGGATACGTCTACATATTCACCCATCTGGATCGCTGTCCCCAAGAATATGGTTGTCAAGATTTTTTTTATTAGAAAATTGTAGCTAGATTAACATATCATAAGGTTGGGCAAATTTTGAAAGCAGTTAAAATTCATTTGTAAACGTTTAAGGGTAGCGGGAATATTTGTTTGTGGAGAGTCTGGAACATCAGTTTGCAGATATTATTAGAATCAACCGTCACCGACACATTACGGTCGTCGCACTTCGCAAAACTGCATACACGTTTGCATATCTACTTTCTTGATCGTTTGAATATGCATGCGACTTGTATTATTTATAGTACTTAGTCACAAACTTATAAACATAACTGGTATCTTATCATGCCATTTCCTTCTTACTTCTTGTTCAATAGTCTCTAATGTCGCTGAACCACATCATGTTGCTATGATCTTGTTGATATTCATAAAGTGATATAATCAATATTTGTATCAATTGTGCTCAGTTTATTATGTAACTTTTCTACCCTTGACGTTGATTTCTCTCTTCTAACTCCTGTTAGAAGCTCCTCCGTCTCGTTCACGTTCCTAAACAGTATTATTCATCGCTTTCGTGCTTTACACTTAAATAATGACTAGTTATTGGTACGACAATATTCTCGATCGACGTGGACAGCAAGCGATGCAACGATGCGTGTTATGTTTCTGTGTTACTATCATGTACCTTATACGTTTCACATAGTTAGAGAAATTCTTCATACTAAACGAATTGTCCTTATCTAAAAACTACCTCAAATAATTACGCATTATGGTTTTGTTACAATACAATGTAAGGCAACGTTGCCTTGGAATCGGTGACTCATCTCTTACGCTCGCATGGAGCCGACGACGAGACCGACCGGAGTTCTCAGTTCATGTACAATAATACTTTACTGTATGCTGTATACATAATTATATTCTATATCAATAAATGTATATCTGTAAATTCTTGACGATACTAAGATTTTTTTTCTGTAGCCATTAATCATTAAAATTTATACAGTTTATTATTTCCTTAAAATACTTCATATTTTCTGCTGTTAGCTTAGTAGGAAAAACACAACTCTTAGAAAGAGTACCCTGCGAATTCTGGAAGAACAAAACTGTCAAGGCGAAATTTATATACTTTGTATGTATGGCGCATGGCGTACAAATAATAAATAAGCGGAATGATGAAAACGTTATTAAATGAGCGGTACCTACCTGGCTGTAGTTTTAATATTAATTTAATTTGAAATTCTTTCATTGGAACTAAATATTAATATAAATGTAAAAAAATGTAAATAGTATTCTGTTGACCTGTTCATTTTCCAACCTTGAACTGTAATTCCTTTGATAGAGTTAAATAATGTTTAAGACCTTAAAAAGGCTAATTTCGAAGTCGAACTTCGAAATAGCCTTCTTAAGGTTACTTTCAACAAACAGACTTTTTTTATTTTACATAACGGACTGTAATACGGACTTACCTATATGTATTAGTATTTTTTACAAATTTCAACCAACTTGAAGCCCTTTAATGATATATGTTTTCTCTCTTTGCAGTTACAAAGTAAACGCGAATTGTTCTTCAAATCTGACTCGGTGAGTGGTGGCGGCGTGAGCGGTACGGGGCCACCTACAGCAGCGCCGCCCGCTCCACCCTCTTCCCTCAAGGATGCGCTTGCTAAGCGCGCAACGACGCTCCCGGACCAACTTGAAAACAATCATCACGAGTCAAATGGTACTGCTAAACTTAGCAACAGTGTGTCCGTCGATGCGGCTAAGCCCCCCAATGTGGCGCCTCCACCGACCCCAGCGCCTACCATACCCACCTCAGCGCCACCCAATGCACCACCTCCTTTACGGAGTACAGAAAATATCCTCAAGGTAAGAAGCATAAGGACAATTTTTTGCCGGTATTATATCTTAAAATATTGTCCATCCATATGTTTATATGGTAATACCGAAAACATTAGACTTTAGTGACTAACAAACATGTAATCCGTAACTTGTTACGATTGTTTCCAACGTCGGAACGACTAACTAATACCGAAAACTGAGTCTGCCAAACGTACACGAGTGGAGAAATTCTATCAATGCAAATCTTTAAATATCTGAAAACAACTGTATAGTACTACGAGTAATTGAATACCAATTATTCTCTCCACTTCCTAAGTTGCAAGTTATAGACCTCGAGTTGTAAATTAGCAGTACTTCTTATATGATGGTTTTGTTACTTTTAATAGTACATAAAACTCTTTAAGTTGATGTTTAAAGTAATTGTAAGTAATACTTTCACGTATAAAGTTTTGTTACTGAACGGTCTGTCGTAAACGATTATAAAGGATTGCTGGCTATTTCGAGACGATAACTAATTTATTATACCTCACACACAATCACCACGATGTTCACGATCATTATCTCATAACAGTGTTCCATTATATGCAAGTACTCCGAACAATAACAATGTTTGTATTCATTTGAGGATTTCAAACAATACGATTTTAAAGTTAGTCATTTTATTGAATACAGTATAGCAAAAAATAATTAATAAACGTATACTCGTACACTTTTGCTATACTGTCAGCGTAATAAACCTCTAATTTGCTATTCCAGAAACCCGATCACCCGCCTGTGGCACCAAAACCGGAATTACCTAAATTAGAAAAGCCAAAAACCAAAGAATTAGACGGATACGTTGGATTTGCAAATTTACCAAACCAGGTGTACAGGAAGGCCGTGAAAAAGGGATTCGAATTTACTTTAATGGTTGTAGGTAAGAGCATAAAACGATGACAAGACTTTTCTTTAGTAACATGGATTTATCAGCCATAGCTCAATTTGCTTTAAACAACCTCTTGGCACTTTGTATTTTTTTTTATTAAGATTTTTAAATACATATGCTCAAACACATTATACGCACGTCATTGCTAAAGGGCATATTAATCACCTACATTTTGCCACTAATATTTTATTCGACTACCATTGATAATAGTATAGAATGTAATGAAAGATAAAGGATTTGATAATACATACTTGAAATTTGATTGCTATAAGCTCGCCCTTATAACGTTGCACTATTAGGCAACATTAATTAATTGATGATGATTTATTTGAAAATTTTAGCCTATAGTTGTAATAAGTGATAAGAAATGTTAAAAGGAATGTTAATTTAAAAGGGATGTTTGATTTTCTAGATAGTTCCAGTTTATTTAAGTAGTCTCTATTAAATTACTATTTGAATGTACTATTTTTTAAATATCTATTAGTGTAAGGAGATGTTGATTAACCTTAATAAAAAAAAGGGATAACGTGTGTATTCAGCGCTTGTTTCGTTTTTTAGGTGAGTCAGGACTAGGCAAGTCAACGTTAATAAACTCACTGTTTCTGACGGATGTGTATGATAAAGACAAACACCCCGGGCCATCACTACGAGTGAAGAAAACAGTTGGCGTGGAGACCAGTGTCGTTATTCTCAAAGAGAATGGTGTCAACCTAACATTAACTATCGTAGACACACCGGGATTCGGCGACGCAGTGGATAACAGCAATTGGTAAGTGACGAAACGGAATTCACTAATATATTTGGGTAATTCACACATTTTGATGAAAAGAGTTTCTGTTTCAACTGGGGCCACTGGCCACAGGTGGTGAAGGATAGAGCTATTGTATTATATCCCAAGATATGTTATAAGTATTTCAAGTGGTAATATGAAGCGTTATCCACAAGATGGGCTGTGAACTTGTTTACCAACTTACATGTATTGAAATTATTAATTAGCCACTAGTATTAGTGCACAATAAAATGACATGACATGAAGGTAAGAGTCAGTTTGATTAATGGCTGGAATAGGACCACTTAAATAATATTAATCGCATTTATAATTGCATTTCGAATCACATACGTTACTGGCGAGATTGTATTCAATCGTTAAATGGTAACATTTTAGCTGGCAGCCGGTCATAGACTTCGTAGAGTCGAAGTACGAAGAGTTTCTGAACGCTGAGTCGCGAGTGACACGCAAGGCGGCCCCACCCGACACTCGTGTCCATTGCTGTTTATACTTCATCGCGCCGAGCGGACATGGACTCAAACCGCTCGACGTTGAATTCATGCAACGGCTCGGAGATAAAGTTAATATTATCCCCGTTATTGCGAAGGCTGATACTATGACGCCCGAGGAATGTAAGGACTTCAAAGAACAGGTAATTATTACCTTATGCATTCAATACGATGTCAGGTAATCAAATGTGACGTTTCTTTTTAGTCTCGGCATTGTAATGGCACCCTTATAGCGCCGGTAATTTATGAAATATGAAATTTAATTTATTTATGTCGGTCAAAATAAAAATAACTACAGTGTGCTGGATAACTATGTTAGTAGGTATAAAATAAATGAATAAAATTTGTGTGAGTGTAAGTGAAAATAAATCTGAGAGACCGGGAACATAATATATGTTTCTGTGGGTAAGCAATATCCCATAGATAAAGAGTATCAACATTTTTCTTGAATTTTGTAACTTAATCGTACTATGTTCACTATTTGTTAAGTTTAAATACACAGTAAAATTGGCAGTCACTCAGGGCTTTGGCCACATTTGAGATCTTGGTTATTTTGTTTTTATTAAAATCGATAACCAAAAGATTAAAAATCATTGTACAATGTCAATTTTCAGAGTTACTTAAGCCAAATTAGCCTTAATCATCATCATATAAATAAACATTTGCAATAGAGTCAATTGCAAATCTTTGGGCACACACTTTTAAGTTGCTAACTTGAATTAGATCTCGCCGTTAGAAGTCCATGCCCAAGTAGTATTGAGATACTAAATATAAGGTAATTCTATAGCCATTAGCAAACGTTTCCTTTGACTACAGACTTTTGATGCTGGTTTTCACAACCTTTACTTTAATTTATTTTTCACTGTATAAGATTAAATTCAGTTTGGAGAGTCCAGAACTAAAGGGCCATCCATTTATTCTGGAATCTCAAAACTGAATATTGATAAAAGTCCATCATATAATTACAGTCCTGTTTGATCTGTTTGATACCTTGCTAATCGTCCGTATGGTGACGGATTAAGAATGTGTGGTGACACCATGCTATTGGTGTCGTAAGAGCCGACTAAGGGTGCAATTTAACCAGGACAAGAGCTCTGCAAAGAGTAGGATAACTAACCCTTTTTTTTTTTTTTTTTTTTTACGTGTGGAAATCCCCTCGGACCGTCACCCCTCCGGGGTTTGCGGCGGGGTGGTGTGTCGGACTCGGACCGACTAAAACCACACGGTGTGCCACTCTGCGCCTGTAACAGGAGGGATCCAGGAACAGCTGTTGTTAAGACATCCGGACCCCTCCTAGCGCCAGCCCGCTCCTGGTGCGGGCTCCGTCTCAATGTGGATGTTCCTCTCTTTAGGCGACGTCCGGCACACGCGGACGCCGCCCCCTCGCGGCTGGCCAAACTAGGATAACTAACCCTATACCAACCCGTCTGGCCAGCGTGGTATAGTAGGGCAAAAATTTCATCAAATGAGAGGCCTATAACCAGCAGTGGACAATTAAAGCCTCTTAATCAGTATATCTTGCTAGCTATTTTAAAAACAGGAAGGGGGGGGAACAGGAGGTTTTAATTATGCATAAAGTCGCAATTAAATATTTTATTACTTATGTATGAATGAGGAGATACTTATTCATGGAACCACGAAGAGCTTTAAAAATATAACACGTTTAAAAAATAACTTTACATTATAAATGTGTACTCTTAGATATGTAGTCGGTTACCTTATTGATAATAATCTTGCACGCTTAGACGTAATATTACCTATTTTCATTAGATATTTCCAATATTGTAATGTAATAATTAGTTACAGAATAATTAGTAAAAATATTTATATTATATTGCAGAAAATTTATATAATATTAAGTCCAAATTAATATTTTGCCTATTATTCGCTGTATTAAGTTCTTTATAGGCACGTAAAAAGGTATAGTAAGACCGATTCAGTGGTATATCTGTGTCGTCTTTATATACATACTTACTGATGCAACTAACTAACAATAGTGTTTTACAATAACTATAAATGATGTAAATCTAATAATCGAACGATTAAACTGCAACAAAAACTGTATTTAAAGATTATTGAAAGCACGTAATTACCATTACACACATAAACAAACTAAAAACGAAACTACTAACCTTACTTGGAAATTCACAACATCTGCCTCAATCTCATATTAATTAAAATAAGACTAAAGTAGTATTCGCATTGCGCAACTTAATTACAGATAATGAAGGAACTAAATCAACACAAGATCAAAATCTACGATTTCCCCGAGAGCACGGGCGAGGAGGGCGAGGGCGCGGATGCGGCGCGGGCGCTGCGCACGCGCGTGCCCTTCGCCGTCGTCGGCGCCAACACCGTCATCGAGACCGAGGGCCGACGCGTGCGCGGCCGCAAGTACCCCTGGGGGATCGCCGAAGGTTAGCTCTTTTAATTATCAACAATTCCTTGTACATACATCGATAACTTATTTTACTTTCGCCAGAACTTTTCGACGTTACACTAAAAAAAATCACATCACATCAATCACATTTTCCATAGATATTTAGGTATTTCTGGGACTTTAAGGTACCCACTCTAAATTGCTATTAAGGAAAGCAAAGCTCAATTATAGTGAACCAGAATAAAGTATTAACACGAACATAATTAAAAAAATGTAAGTTTTAGGTACTTATTCGTCTCTAAATAATATATTAGCAAGTCAATGTGATCGTGGGTCGCGAAGCGTACAATCTTCATATAAATTTAATTATAATTCCAGTGGAAAACTTGGAACATTGTGATTTCTTGGCACTTCGAAACATGGTGATACGGACCCACCTTCAGGATCTGAAGGACGTGACGAGCTCCGTGCACTACGAGAACTATCGCTGCCGTAAATTAGCTGGACTTTCACATGACGGCAAACCACACAGGATCAATTCTAACAAGTAAGATAAACTGTACTATTTTACTTGTCATTTATTTGTGCTCTACTTACAAATCATAGACAAATTGATTAACATACTAATTGTTTTAAAATAAAATTGTGCCTGTTTCTGGTCTCAGTAGATATTTGAACATTTTGAAACAGGCATGGTAGATCTAACAACCTAAGTAGACAAGGTTGCTCAATACGTATATATATTTTAAAAGGACATTCTTAAACTTAATTTTATTACTGCTGTCACCGCATTTAAGGTGACCAGACTTATATTGTTTAAATTTCATGAAGTAACCCAACAGTTGAATAACACGATTAACATATTGCTACTTAACTGACCTCTTTTGTCTCGTCATTGCTGCATGTCTGGTCACCTTTAACCTCAATTCTTCTCTATTGATACTGTTGCAGTTGTGTGCTACAGAATTTTTATTTTGTTATATTTAGATCCATTTTTATTCCCTAGCTCTGCATTATTAATATCGTACTGGACGTTCTGTGCTTGGGCATGCAGAAATGAAATACTAATTGTTAATGTCTATCATTATTCTTTCCATTTAATCATGGAGTGTTTTAAAAATACGAGATTCTAATAATATTCTGTGTTTTTCCCCTTGTATGGTATTTTTACAATATCCATGATCAATATCATAAATCATAATGACTTGCAGTTCATGCGCTTACACAGTGGCATTAATAACAATTTATACCTCATTATTATCATTGTGTCGTTGGAATTGTGCTTGCAACTGATTTGCGTGTGTTACACTTGGGCGCACACTGATTTCTCAGTATTATTAAATGTATGTATTAAGTACGGACATGTCGGACTTATTTACCAATTTAATGAGGGGTTTTTAACATAACACTGCACAAAAGAAAGTGTTTTTTTCTCAGCTATTACAAAATGTACTACTAGCGCAAATGCTTAGTGTAAACTTAACTGGAGCATTTCGTGTATATTTGTCTCTGTTTCGCTTATGTGTATAATTGATGCCACTGTGTGAAGTGTTTGCGCGAGCACAGCCACGTGTGCTAACCCTGGTTGTGTTGGTGTTCAGTTTGTGCCCGCAAGGATTGATGAACAGTTTCATGACCGTCTGGTAAGTCCCGTCGGGTCGACGTATTTACATAACAGCTTGTGCACATTTCTAGCATAGTATTTGATGTTGTGGGCTGATGTCTCTCTTCCCGTTTCGAACTAAGTATATACATAAAATTGTAATTAAAAACACATCGAAAGTTATATTTTTGCTGGATTAAAATTATCATATTTATTATTACTGGTATCAGAAAACTGGATAAATGTATTTTTCATTTCAGATATGTACTCTGCAAGATAAACTTTAACATTTTCTTTATAATATAATAATATAATAATAATAACATTTATTTCATAGTAAAGTTTTACAGTTTCATTACATAGGTTATCATAATAGTTAGGTATATAACTTAGGCTATAATTAATTGGAGTGATTGCTGTTCTCCTAGATAGGCAACTAAGTTGCCTGTGTTTAGGAGTTACAGTCCCTCAAGTGCGCATATGGGGGTGAATGTCGTGTGCGTAGCGTGCGTGCGCATGTGTGTGTGTGGGTGTGTGTGTGTGTGCGTGTACGTGTGTGTGTGCGTGAGTGTATGTGTGTATGAGTGCGTGTGCGTATATGCGTGTGGTTAGGTGTTTGTGGCCTTACTTGGTTTCAATTTTCGTGTAAATAATAATATATATTGTGCTTAACCGTTTAGGAATTGCTCTGTTTCGTCATAATTCAGGTTTTGGAGGTAGGATTTAACAGTCTTTGACAGTAGATGTTTGGGCAAATGATAGATAGGGCACACTGCATTAAGCTTGTTATAAACAGATGGACCAAGGTAGGAAGAAAATCTTTTAAAGAAAGTTGAGCCCGCAGGAGGGATTGAACAAATTCGGTCTTTACGACGTTTGTTAATCGGTAAAAGCGGTGTGAGACGGTGTTGTAATCCTGTTAGGTGTAATAAAAATAGTTGTCTCACACTGAGTAAATTGCACTTCTTATAAAGCTCGGTTGTTGGAAATAAAATAGGTCTAAATGTAGCAACTTTTAAAATAGCGCGATGAGCTATTTCCAGTGGTCTTAGAATTGTTTTAGCTGCACCTCCCCAGCAAGGAATACAATAAATTATTATGGAGTGACAGAGGGCATAATACACGTTACGGATAACCGCTTGATTGGCTACGTGTCGTAAGTTTTTGAAGACATATATTAGTTTACGAACGCGTCCCGAGAGAGTGTCAATATGTTGTCTAAATTTAAGGTGTTTATCCAAGATAATGCCGAGGTATTTAATTTGGTTAACTGGAGTTATTGCTAGGCATTTGCAATTCAGGTGAAGTTGAGACTGACAATAGTGAGCTATTAGATTTATAGGGTTTTTAGGTTGAGATAGTGGGGTAAGCGAGAAAGTCATAAAATTTGTTTTGGTAGTGTTAAGAGTTAGAGTGTGTGAGGCAAGCCAGGTTAAAACAGTACAGAAACCTCCTTGAGCCGCAGTTTCAAGTTCAGACCATGTGTTTGCATGAAAAGTTATGGCCGTGTCGTCTGCAAAAGATACAATGTTTGCGTGTGGAATGAATAAGTTACAAAGGTCGTTAATAAAGACAAGGAATAAAGTAGGGCCTAAGATACTACCTTGAGGCACACCGTAATGGATGGAAAGTTCATCGCCAATGTAGTTGTTGATATTAACAAGTTGTGTCCGATTCGTTAGGTAGCTTTTTAGTAGTTCTAGTGGTGGGCCCCTGATTCCTGCATTTTCAAGTTTGATTATGAGGGTAGAAATTGGCACAGTATCGAAGGCCTTGGCTAGGTCCAAGAAAATAGTCAGAACTTTTTTTTTCTTGTTAAGTTTTTCCACAATGTTATTAACTAAATTTTGGACTGCATCACACGTAGATTTGTTTCTACGGAAGCCAAATTGTTGGGTTGAAAGCAACTTAAAGTGCTCCAGGTAGCTGATCAGTCTCTTATTTATAAGTCGTTCAAGTATCTTGGATAAAGCACTAAGTACAGCTATGGGTCGATAGTTGTTTGGCGACTGTCCGTCTCCACCCTTAAAAATCGGATGAATGATGGCTATTTTGAAAGAGGTAGGAAAAATAGCTGTTTCAAAACAGAGGTTGAAAATATAGCTTAATGAGGACACTATAAGTACATTATATCGTCTAAGGAATGACAGGGGAATACCATCCCAACCTACAGCAGCAGTCACCCTTAGTGTGTTTATCACAGACGAAATTTCGACGGGGTCTGTTGGCTCTAAGACGAAGGAATTATTATGCTTTGAAGTGCAATTAGGTGGTGTACTTGATGAAGTGTAGGTGTTTTGTATTTTTTCGGCGAGATTTTTTCCAATGTTTACGAAAAATTGGTTAACACTATTACAAGACTGTTGAGGTGACGTCGAGAGTGATAACAGTTTGTTTGACATATTAGTAGGTTTGCTTGTGTTTGTTATAAGTCTAATAGAATCCCAGAGTTTTTTGGGGCTGTGACTTGCCTTAATTAGCTCTTGTGTGTCATACTGCCTTTTTACTTTTTTTAGAATAGTTGAGCAAAACTTTCTGTATCGTTTATAGGTGGTGAGAATGGTAATATCATCTGGGGCTTGTTTAACTTTTTTGTGAAGTAAATCTCTATGTCGTATACACCGTAAGAGGCCTGGTGTTATCCATGGTTTAAGCACTCTTTTCCTAGCAGAGACTTTAACAGTAGATGTACATTTGGCTATAGCATTTTTAACTATTTTTATAAAGTTGTCGGTTGCATTATTTGGGTCTGACATGGAGAAAATGGGTGTAAAATCTGTATTTTCCATAAGTTGGTCAAGCGCAACATAATCGACCCTGCTAACCTCCCTTGGACTAGCTTCTTTAATTATGTTTTTGGCCATACAGAGCAAGGTCGGGTAGTGATCGGTTATCGCCGTTTCGAAGAGGAATGTAATAGTTTGAAAAGTTGTTCTCAACATTAAGTGGTCAATGCAGTTCTTGTCTCGCGTGGGTTGAGCATGTGCTGGGAGAAAACCGTGATAGGCCAAAAATGTAAGGTAAGATTGACTGCGTGTGTCGTTAGTCATAGGTTTAATGTCGATATTGATATCGCCTGTTAGAACTACAGACTTATGGCTGTTGAGGGTTGATAGGATATTGTTAAGGGCAGATAAGAAAGGGTCAATTAGGTGATTAGAAGGGGAGCGATATACACAGATTATTGACATGGAGTCTAACGTAATTAGCAGACCAGAGGCCGTTTCACAAAAGTTGGGCTCTTCACATGTGGCCGTTATTGTAGATTTGAGATAAACCATAACACCATCGTTTTGGTTTTGATGATTGTTCGTTTTAAACGAGGCAAAGCCCTGTAATATCGGGATGTTAGTATTGCTGTCACATTTAAGCCAACACTCCGTCAGCACCAGAATGTCACAGTCGATATCGAGGCGCTTCAGTAGTGTTTGTAGTTCTAGGTTATTGCGATTAATAGATCGTATGTTGAGAGTGAAGATTTTAAGATAGTTATTTGGGTGTTTTATAAAAGTTTTTAGTCTTTATGTATATTTAATATTAAGAAGTACATTGTGAGTTTACATAAAAACTTTGTTTAAATTTTGCCTTGCACTGTATCGTGTATAAATGTGTAGCCTTTAATGTATCTTCCTTAAAATGCATGCCCGCTACCATGTACAGTCCGCCTTTATATTTACTGTTTTACTCTAAAGTATATCTTTCGTTGTATGGTAAGTACCTGTATTGGTTATTCCAAAACCGTCTGGCATGACAAATACTCTTATCCTGATGTTAGAAATAAATAGATTAATCCGAACAACTCAACCCAATTGACAAATTGGAGTAGGCAAATTGGCCGTCATTTACGAATGTAACTTTTTAAACGCGTTCTACATTACACATTGCGCTTCCTACTATATTTTAGAAGTATTTATGTACCTTTTAATAAGGTAATAAGAATAATTTAATACATTTTTTTTATAAATATAGCACATGGCCTTCCTAAACAATTTGGGCTATATTTGCATGATTTTTGTGGTTTAACTTGGATTCTAAACTCTTATCAAGAATATTTTTACGAATGTGTGCCCTATGGAATGGAATTTTAATGTCACTTATTTGTTCTCAGGAATCCTTTGGCTCAAATGGAGGAAGAAAAAAGAGAACATGACCTAAAAATGAAAAAGATGGAAAGTGAAATGGAACAGGTTAGTAGCTTCATCATATTTATACTTTTCCAAATTTTAATCAACATTTTTTAACTTAAGGCATTATTATTTACTTTTTAGATGAGTTACCTATATAAAAAATGAACAAAAAGAAGGAAAAAACCGAATTTTATATAAAAAGGATAACAATTTTGTTTTTTATTGTTTTACTTATAATTTATTTATTGTATATTTTATTGGAATAATAAGAAGAAGAATTTAAGCAGCATTTAAAAGTGTTAGTTTTATGTAAATAAAGGGTCCGCCAAATAACTTTTTTTTTTGAAAATGCTATAAAAAAAAACTACTGAATATTTTCTCAAATTTATTTTTTTATTTGAAAGTACAATACTTCCGGTTAATAATGGAAAATAATTTCATTCAAATGGCTGCCTCGGCTGGCCATGCAGTAGCCTACACGATCGGTCCAATTTTTAAGCACATTATCGATTGTGTGCAGCTGTATTTCACCAATGGCTTCAAGAATATTGTCCTTTAAAGCATCAATTGTCTCTGGCTTGTCGGCGTTACACTTATCTTTGAGGGCACCCCACAAATAATAGTCCAGCGGTGTCAAATCGCAGCTCCGAGGTGGCCAAACGACATCAGCTCTGCGGCTGATAATGCGATCTTCAAAAACAGGGCGCAAAACATCGAGTGTAGCTTCGGCTGTGTGGCACGTAGCGCCGTCCTGTCGAAACCAAATGTTGCCAATATCCTCCTCTTCAATTTTTGTGAACAAAAATTCGTTGAACATGGCCCGATAACGATCGCCATTGACTGTAACGGCCTTGCTCATTTTCGAAGAAAAATGGCCCAATTATGCCTCTGGAGCAAAATCCGCACCAAACAGTGACTCGTTTTGGGTGTACCGGCTTTTCAATGTATTTCTGTGCCCCAAATGCGACAATTTTGCTTGTTTACATACCCGCCAAGATCAAAATGAGCTTCATCCGAAAAGATGATTTTTTTGGCAAAATCGGCAACTTCTGTAAGTCGATCGCAGGCCCACTCAGCGATCGAAAACGCATTGGATAGTCAGTTGGCTTCAACTCCTGAACCAATTGGACTTTGTATGGCGTCATACCAAGGTCTTTATGCAAAATTCGTCTCAATGATGTCTCCGAAATGTTCAATTGTTGAGAGCGACGGTGAATTGATGTTGATGGCGCTTCACGCACACTTTCTGCCACAGCATCAATATTCTCGGGTGTACGCACTGTTTTTGGCTTTTCACGCTTTGTTTTACCGATGAGGATGCCAGTTTCTTTCACTTTTTTCACAAGATAACGAACATACGGAGCTGACGGTGCTTCTCTTCTTCCAAAATCCATACGCAATTTTCGCACACATTCTGCAACATTACCATGATTTTCAAAGTAATGTCGCAATATTTCCCAGCGTTGTTCAAGCGTATACACAACCATATTCGTTCAGCGGAAGGATAAAACTAATTATCTGTCAAATCAGACATGAGCTAAGTGTTACCATTCACGAAATAAGCACTAGTATAGTATATAGTAGTAGTAAGCGCCTTTAGATGGCGGACCCTTTATTAGATAAAGTTTGAATTTTTTATTCTTAAATTAAAATATATAAAACTGAAATAGACTAACATATCATCATATACATCATATATCATATCATCGTGCACCAAGACCCATATAGATGCTGAGTACAGGTGTATATGTAAATGTATGGGTACCTATAGCTATTATGTATAACTAGGAGAGGATAAATAATAAAAACCGTGTTGTAAAATTAGCTCATTAATAATACATTTTATGAGACTTTAATTTACAAAACTCACTGTTCACAAACTAAAAAAGCATTTGACAAGCACATTATTGACTATTCCGCACCTATTCATATGGAAAAATATATAATGACAAATTACAAGTAATTCAATTATTTCAAATAAAGAATTATAAAATTATTTAAATAAAAAATATTATTATAATAAAATATTCTATTATTAAAATTAACCAAATCTGACATTTGGTTTCAATAATTCCTTAGATCGTTTAATAGGTCGAAGATCGAATATATGTAGAAGACCTGTTTAGCTTTTGTAGATGTCTTCATTTTACTTTCATGACTTCTTTAAATTTCTAAGTTTTTGCAATTTTGCACAAAGTAAACATTGAGTACCTAAGCCAAATTTGTGCCTAGGCACTTTTAAAAACACGGGTCAATTAAAAATAAAGTTATCTTCGCATAGATATACCTACGTATACGTACATACGTAAAAAGTTAACGTTTGAACATTTAATAAGTTTAAGAGAGAAGGCAGCAACCGTGTAGTACAGGTCGGCGGGTACGATTACAGGTGTTCGAGATGAAGGTGCGCGAGAAGCGCGCCAAGCTGAAGGAGTCGGAGGCGGAGCTGGCGCGGCGGCACGAGGGCACGCGGCGCGTGCTCGAGGCGCAGGCGCGCGAGCTGGACGAGCGCCAGCGCGCGCTGCAGGCCGAGCGCCTCGCCTGGGAGCGCGACACCGGCCTCTCGCTCGACGACCTGCGCCGCCGCTCGCTCGAGGCCAACAGCAAGGAGTCAGTACCTCGCCTCGCCTCACCTCATATCACTTCACCTCACCCTCCCCCGATACACCCTGCTTTCTAATTATTATTTTTTGAAGTCAAATTAGGTATATGACGAATTATTAAAGTCTGTTCGGTCGATAATATATTAATGTATTCATTTAGTAGTTTTTCAAAATAATATTAATCAAATCACAAACCTGCAAGTTCAAACTCTAATACGTCTGTTATGTTGTTTAATACGTCAAAAGATCTTAAGTATTTTTTTTAAACAAGTCTCATTGTTTAAAAAAAATACTTAAGATTCGCTGTGATAAATATTATCGTAGAATTTCATGACAATATTTTTTTTGAATCAACTGTGTTGATGTCTAAACCTTATTGAATTATTTCGTTAATGAACGCAAACACAGAATTATAACAAAATATAAACCTCAGCACATTAGACGTATTATTATGAAAAAATACGTCTTCCATAAGTACTTTCAATCTTTCAGGAATCTACTGAATGCCGTCATAAAACTAAATGGTGCTACAAAAATTGTTTCCAATATTTTCAGTCAGGGGCTGCTCCGTTCCTTATAGGAGCTTGATCTAGGACGATCAGAGTTAAAAAGCCAAACTAATAAACGTAAAATCAGTCATACGATAAAACTTTTATCACATCTTGAACAAATTTCAGTCTATAGGATACCATATTTAGAATTTTAATTCGTATCAGAACAACGGTCAAGAGTATCCAAAATGATCTTCAATCTTCTAATAATATTTAATTACGTTTCAGGACCGTCGACGGCAAGGAGAAAAAGGACAAGAAAAAGAAAGGTTTGTTTTAGAGCCGGCAAGAGTTTGGTCGGCCTCGCACCCACCGTTATGCACACGTGACTAACCGCCCGCGCCGCCGACAACGTCGCTCAATCGCCGTCTCTGTCGATAACTCTACGGTATCTTCTAAATTTTAGTAACGCCGACGACATAAAGTAGGCCCGAGTACAAAATACTATTCATTCCTACTATCGCGTTTAAATTTATAATACGAAAATCACTTAATGGTGTGCAGCATTTAAAACTGATCGGTATCGAAATAATTCATTTACCTTCGATGATTTTCATAGAACAATGAGATTGCGATCGCAATGTCACTGCGGTCGCTCCTAATTGATGACGTAGCATACTCGATGAAATTGTTTTAATGTTTATGTTACTATGACGAACGTGTAGATCTTGAACTTGGTCGTTTACGTCATTTAACTTTACTATCCTTGTAAAAGAGATGTTTTGCCTTATAGAATATTCTACGGATGATAGCATTGACAGGCAATTATTTTTTTGTGACTGTACATATCGTGATCCAAATTGCGAAACAAGGGTTTCGTGCATAATTTATTTTTTAAACACGTGGCTAGTGAGAGTTGAGTTTTTATTTTGTCACCCTAACTCTGGGTAATGTAGTGCCATTTTCGATGTTATGATGGGTACCAGTACTCGTCGTATACAAGTGTTTGTAAAATGAAAATCGCTTTCTGTCTTCTGTCCAGCAATGTGTGTTCACGTTAAGTGTTTGTATCACTAATTACTGTATTTCATATTTATACTTTTTGTATCCGTCAACTGAATTTTCTCTGTGACTAAATCACTCTTTCGGTTACAGTTGTTTCTGTAAGAACTTCTGATATGGACAGTACATAGCCCCTTTTACAATTACATTTAACTTTATTTAAATTAACGCACCTCGGTTGCGTTATTTGTAGCATTTGGATAACGTCTTGGAGCATTTATTTTTTAATTTTAAATAAATTCACAGTTCGGTTGTAACAGTTTACCTGACAACAGAAATAAATATCGTATATCAACCACTCCATTCGTGTAAAGGGATATATGTCGCTGGACGTAGCAGGATCAAATAAAATTGTTTAATGTTTGCCAAAAAATATTGTACATTTACTATAATCTTGTAATTTAAAGTCACATATATTGAGATTTTTTACATCATTTCCAGATTGGTCTTTTAAGAGTGTTGCAACTGGAATAGTAATATAATAGGATCATTGTCCACACACGGCGCACTTACCTACTTTTTAGCAATATTACCGTAGTTGTACGAACGTAGCATAATGAAACAACGATTAATAAAGACTACAGAACTAAATAACATTATAACTGACATTGGTGAGGAAGTTAATACAAAATTACCGGGAGTCCAGATTGTATGAGATTACTTTTGTATGTATTTTATTTATAAGATTTTTCCATGACAGAGCATTTATTATGATAAGTGAGGCCTAATTTTATACATCTTATGTTTCCAAAAGATTTTGTAATACATATTTTATATGATTATTTATTTGATATCTTATGACAGTTTTTGCTGTTAGCAGCATTGAGTGTAGCACAAACATTATTACAGTTTATTACTAGACATTTACGTCCATAGAGATGCCAAATAGCTTATGATAGTGGTATGCTTTAAAGAGAAGGCGTATGTCTAACGATTCATTGTATTTATGTAATTATAATATGTTGACAAACACTAGATAGACGACTTCTGCCGGTACACGACAGATTCAGCTCAAAATGTGAAATAAATTATGCATAGGCACTAAAGTCTTTACTAATAAATATAGCATAATGAAATAACAATTAAAATATTTGAGATACCCGTTTACCACTTTTATTTTCTGTTATATTTATAAGTAGAGAGAGACTATTGTAGTTATTCGAAGTTCGCATTAGGTAATACACAATTCTAAATTTTAAATGAATTAGATAAGAAATATTTTTTACTTCTTTATCATTGCAAAACGTAATACGGTTTCGGCTTAATCGGTGCATTCAAATACCTGTCGGGGGTTTGATTCGCACGTTTGTTATGACTATACAAAGTCATATTGTGCTTAGTGATATTAAAATATGCTCATAGTTCAGTTGTGAAATAGAACCTAGCTCTAGCTAGTTGTTAGCGTTTCTTTATAATACCTAACTTATAAGGAAATGTTTAAGGATCTCTGATCAACATTGACAAATACGTACGCATGGAACAGTCTAGTATTATATACAAAATGTTATATTCTTTATTTTGTCTTTGTCATACTTATAATACGGTTATTTGAACAACTTCTATTACACACTATAAAGCCACTGTTGTTTGAATATTTTCACAAAACAATTGCTTAATAAACTTGTATTAGGTTATGTAAATATTTCGTTTAGTCATTACTATTTACTATCGTATGAGCAAAATATAAATTATTGGGCGATGTTACAAAATGGCAAGTAATTTATGAAACATGCATAATCTTATTTAATCGACATCGCATGTTTAATTAAATTTGTATTATTTCCTTCACTACAGTATTGACTTCCGAGTTAAATTTAGTACTTAGGTAATAAGATTATGCTTAATTTTGTATTTTGTGTAGGGTCTCTGCCCACTTTACCATACAGATCATTTGCTTTAGTCATTACAATAGACTTGTGATGTGTGATGGAAGAGGAAGGAAGTTCGGACGATGTAATATATTGTACCTTTGAATAAAGTATAAATAAATACGTAATATATAGGAGTTGAGAGTTTTATTTTGTGTATGCAAGAGTATTAGCAAGGTAAAGGTACGGTGTCTGACATTTAACCTTTTCGTCTCGTTTTTAATTACATTACAATTTCTTGAAACTTATTGGAGATAAACATTTTCTCATGTGTGATTGCGCCCGCATGAACCTAGGACCCACGTTTTTATTAGAAAAGTTCAAAAATCTTTTGTGCTAAGCCTTGGCCTTTAAATCTAATAGCGGCTAAATACAATCCTATGTTAATTTTTTATATATTTAAAACATACTGATTCGTATTTTGTTTTATACTTAGCCACTTCAGGTCTTCATGAATAGTTTATTCCTATGTATTGAGAAATCAAGAAATTGATATAATGTACAAGCCCACTTGCACCAATTTTTATAAAAGACCAGTCAAATATTACAGATTAGGAAAATATCGCAAGGAAATGTTAAAGTTTGCTCTAATATTTTAGGAATACCTACTTAGCTTATTAGGCTTATTGGGCGGCAATACGTCCTTTTTAAAAGCCCGTCTTAACAAACCATTCAAAAAAAATGCACACCATATACCCGTACTGGGTATATGGCTAGTATGGGTTACTGCACCTTAAAGGATGTAAATAAATACCACAGTTTCCTCGTATGAATCCCTTTTATTTGGTGATGTAATAGATCACATACACAGTGTTACATTCGTCGACCACATCACGACAAAATACAATTCATAAATTCACGAACAACCTCAAAATATTTTGTTATGTAAACAACGTTACTACATCTAGATATAATATTAAATATCTTTGGCAGCGCTATGGAAAATATACTTCTACTTATAATAATGAAAATGCAACTTTAAATATATTATAACAATCACAACAGTTTATCGACAATACAATCTTTATACACAAAGTAACATTCAATTAATTTAAAATAGGCGACGATACGTGAATTTAACTAATATATTATCTTCATTCAATTAAACTCTATCAAAATTTATATATTTACAATAAGTAACTATTAATTTATCGGGGTTTTAATCCTTCAGGGTTATAATCAATTTATACATTATGTGTTAGATAATAGAAAATGTCATTAAAATTAGGTACCTACTTTGCACCACACTTTGTATGTTTATTTATTGTGTACTTCTATTAAATTCAAACATATATTCTGTACCAAAATGATATAATGCAACAAGAATTAATCTACTATCAAAATTTTTAAAAGTAAGTCGGAATAGATCAGTAGTAAATTGTGCATTTAGAATCAGTTATCAAAACAAATGCGTTACCCTTATATTTTATCTGATATTATTGTGGATAGTAAAGAATATAAATTATACGTAATGTTAAAATTCTATATTAGGGCCGTTTTATACGAATGAAGTGCAAAGAAATATAGCTCTAATTCCTAAATGGTTCTTAAGGGCCTAAGATTGCTCAGCGGAGGTAGCTCATTCATTTATCAGGCCATTGCTTTATTTTACATCTTTTCAGCGATTTTTTTACTGATAAAATTTAATAACTATGCATTAGGCATCATCTCTATAAAATATGTCTATCTACTATAAGTCAGAAGAATCACTTACTACTTTTACCTCGGTCAAAGTACCGGAGTATATGAGTCGACTATATTAATCCTTAACTATAAGTACATATTAGCAATAATGGTAAATATCTTGGTGTTCATTCGTGTCACTCTAAATTTAATTACAATATAAACGTTGAAATAAAAGGACGTTGTACTAAATCTCGATAAGTATCTTGTAATATCACAAATCACTGTATCGCTAATCGCTACTTATACACTAATCGATCAATTATTATGATATCGTTAATGACATGGAAGTTAAATACTGTGTATTTCACAATTTATTGAATAAACTAAACGTTTCGCGTGGAGTTAGCTAGCTAACGTTCTGCCGTCAGTAGCGCTATACACTCGTACGCTACGCGAGGAGGCACAATGGCACAGCTATTGTATTCACGACCTACAATATACGTGTGTACTCCGATGATCCTAAGTGATTCATAAATTATACCATGTACTCGTTTACCTTATACCATGAAAAGACCTTTGCTGTGACTGTTCTATACGAGAGAATGAGTGGCTCATTGATTATAATTTGATGTAGGAATTAATGCAAAACTAGATAAAAGTTATAAATTGATATTATGAAAGTAATTTTGTAACAAGAATTGTTTTGGCACAATTCAATAATGATTAAAATAATTTTATAATTTTGCAATGAAATGCTTATGAGTGTTAATCATTAATCGCGTGGTTGCACACATTACCGATTTTATTCTTTCCTTTAACGGGATTTTTCTTATAGACCAAGAATCAATTAACGTTGTTACTTTACTAAACTTAGTGAAAACTCTTAATAAACTTAATAGTTATTAACAGTCAAAGCAATTTACGCTAATATTTGCTCTAACTTTACGTGGCCACAAGTTCGATTCACAACTCTTCATTATAAAGCTTTATCAAGCTCTTTACATTAATCATAATATTGTGGTATCTAATCTAATCATTTTGTATTACAATTGAAACTGACTTATAAATAATTATTAGTAGGCTAGATTAACACGTGACTAAAACAACTATGAAGACGATAAACAATTAGATATTAGTTAAAAGTAGTCAGTAGGTAAGTAAGTATTAAATAACAATTTCGTTAATAGCTAGGTATAATACGAAAGCCAACAGTTCACATATTAGTAGAAGAGTAAATGCTTAAAGTATGAATGAAACAAGCAAAGTGTTATATAGACCAGTAACAATATAGCTCCAGCACAGAATACAGACATCGCATGTCGGCAACACACAAGTGACAGTTTAGCGGTTGCGAAGCGAAAAACTACGAAGTAATCTTAGTGAATAGAATGCTTGGTGTAAGTTTATTTCACATCGACTCGATCGTCACGGTGAGCGCGTTCGGCGCTGTAATTTGTGTAGTTTCGGCGCGGGCCAATCCCAACGCCGAACGCGCTCACCGTGACGATCCCATAGATGTGAAATAAACTCGCACTAGGGCCTCAGTTTAACAAAAAGCCGCTTACAAAATACTTACCGTGTATCACCAAGGTAAGGTCACATTGAGCTTGCTTAGGAGTGATATACAGTTCGCATTAACTTACCGGAAAGATTCGGAACTAAATGTAGGTATCCAATACAGACACAAAATATTTTTAGTAGTCTGAATAGTAATTTAACTGCTGCAGTCTTTCTACGAATACCCACGATAATTTGTATTAGCTTAAATAATTCATTGGTTTTTTTTAAATTTATGTAGAAATAGCGCCCGAGTGTTACACATAACCCGTCAAAGCGTAACATGAGGCACGCTCGTTATTCTAACATTAAGCACTTAAATACTAAATAACGACTTCGTCGTCAGAATCTAGGCAGCTGGTACTAACACCTAGAAAGTTTGATATGTCCATTATCGATCAGCGATATTGCGACATGCCGCGCGATGCGCTACATACAACTAGCAGTCAGCAGTCATATTGGAGCATGCATGAGTAATCGAGTACAGAGTGCCCGCATTCTGTGCCGTGTTGTCTCCGAAGCCATGGTCTATATACCACCGCATGTTGGGCGAATGGGGATCGCGGTAGCGACCACCAGAGTCAATTTCCCTCATCTTAACATTAAACATCCTCCCGTCGAAAAGATGACGTACGACATTAATTACTCAAATCACGTTACACACATGCAACACACATCTATTTATTCCGTTTCACAATCATGCAATGTTTAGTCACCGTACGCGCAGCTTGCGTATAATGTCAAAATGACCGTATTCTAATGTAATGTATGTACACGAACTCGTTGAAATAGAAACCACCAATAATGCGATAACACCGAATGCAAGAGTAACACTGTGTCTTTTGAAGTATTAATGTGGTAGAAGTAGCATGTCTCAAACATAAAGGGTCGCCATCGATGATGAAAGTGAGGAAGCGAACGTGCATAACGCAAAACAAAGTGCATCAGGATCACGGAGAGTGCAGAAGGGTGCAGAAAGAAGTAGACAGCTTAGGTGTAAACAATGTAGAGGACAGTAATACAGGTATAAGTATTCACAACACATAATTTGTAGGATACGAAGTACTTATCGTAATAGGCTTAGAAAAGGGAAACTTAAAAAAATATGCTTCTTTGTGTTGTTTACGTATTAATTGTAACAATGTGTAACATTATGAAAGTGTAACAAGTATTATATTTATTGTACGATTTCACTCTTTTCTTAAATACTGATCACAAATCGTTCTATTCGAGGCATTATTCGTAACATATCTGCAAGAATTATCTGTATTGGTATGCCATTACTACCCTAGCAATAAGTTTAGCATAAAAATGTCTACTTTCGAAGTAAGTATGTCATATATCGTGGTGTTACCATTGAAGGCGTAGTTAATACAATAACAATTGATTACATTATATAATATTTATTACTTTAACTTTAGTTAGATCCACAGCCAAAGGCGTCGCATCCGCGCTCTTGCAATTTAGCATTAAAAGTATTAACACTAAGAGAGTTGTGTTGAAAAGACGTACTGTGTGTCGCAAGTGCACTGCTGAAACTTACTTTGTATATCGTACTGTCCATCTTATTACTACATTATATTGCTGCAAAAAATTGAATAACTGCCGTAATTGCGCTAGTTATAATGATTTGACAGCAAGGATAGTCGGGACCCAAAGATCACACGCCTTAACATCTATGCACCTTTAGTACTTTCGCGTCAAATATTATTGCGTGTGGTCCATCAAACCGACACTAAATTGGTAATACATAAATCTGTACATAATGCATTTCGTTGCTTTAGTCTTTTCATTTACTACTAAGGCTATAAAGAAGCATTCGAATGCTTGATGGTTAGCGATGATTATGGCGCACTTATACATTATATGCATTACTGAAATTGTCACTCGTACCGTACTGATTTAAAGATCTGATGAGTACGATATTTATATTTGTTTCGTACGTATGTGATTATCGTGAGAAGTACGACCAATTTGTTTAACTTACTTACTAATTCTTTATGCAATTTACTCTGTTAGCAACTTCTTATTATAATTTTAATATTATACACATACTTGTGCAGTTCTATGTATGACGCAATTTGCTATCGGTTCTTCCGACTTTAGGCGACGAGTAGTTTCAAGACGTTTATGTCTTTAAAACAAGAGGAAGCTGACCCTGGTCCGGCGCGCGTCGCCCTTGCCGCGCCGGCCCATGCCGTACTGTCACATGGCCGTGTCGGAACTGCTACCCCCTGGTTTAGCGTCGCCTCCTCCTCCTGCTCCTGACTCCTCGTCCCTCGAAGTCCCACGGCCGCCCCCTGCGCCTGCCCCTCCTGCGCTTAGACCCGTGAAGTCCAGGTTGTACTGTATCACATAATATCAGAGTTAGTGCCATATAAGGGCATTAATTAATAGTTTGGCAAAAGTGGGTATCACGAAAAGTTTGTTTTGTCAAGGTCGATTCAAATAATCTTGAAGTATGTCGAAGATTAGTCTCTATCCTATCTATACAACATTTTCTATGTACAACTCATCATGACAAGAAACATCATGCTCGTGGGATAGTTTTCTTTGCTCAATAAATTTAACTCAATTTTTGGGGGATTTTGATAGTAGACTGAAAATATGAGATATACTGTTGCCACATTAGGTAGAAGAGAAAAAAAAACAATAAATTCATTAAAAATTAATATCAAGTTTATAAACTTTATAATGAATAGTTAAATACCACACAGATTCTAATCTAAGTTATCATTGCAACATCACACCAACAACATTAAAATAGCTATGAGTTACACCAAACAAAGCTACACTAAGTCCACGATGTTAGTCATTTGTCAGTTTGATAATGAATTGCATTGATTACAAACTGATTTTAGACAAAAACCACAATTCGGAATTCACATTAATACCTACTTCAACCATTCAGTACACTATTTTCACTCTTATACGTGGATGCTTTTTGTAAATTTGGCTTCCAATGCATAGGAACTCTCTCAGGCATACATAGGGAATACTGAAATTAAATGTAAATGAAAAATAAATATAAAACATAACCAAAAATAAAAAAGCATGAGTAAATAATATAGGTCAGTGGTAAAGAATAGAATATACATAGGTTCATATAAAATGTATAATATTTTTCACAAAAATGTCTATCAGTACATTGTGTTTAGCCAAAAATCGTTAGTGAGGCCCTAGCTAACCATAAATAATGGTAATAGAGCGAAAGGAGTCACTTTTTAGCATAAATATTTATGAGCAAGAGGGAAATTTTGTTCATACTTTCTTATAGGTATGATTATACTGTACATGCTGAGATAAACTACATACACAAGAGGTACACATATAGTTAGGTAGAGGTGCAAGAAGAGACAGACCGAGTCGTCCCTTGTATTCGCTGAAGATTTGTTTATTGCTTTGTCCAGCGGAATTAGACCCTGATGTAGAGGAACGTGCGTTGCAGAAAAACAGATAAGAAGTAAAATACAATAAATAATAAATAAACGTGGGAATATTCGTATTTAAACTGGTCTATTACTATGTACCTAAAAAACTATTTCTAAAAACTAATTAAGAGATTTATTCTTGATGATATGAGTTGATTAGGATATCTTTTTAAAAATTGTATAAAAGTTACACTTCAGAAATCTAGAAAATCAAGAATAAACCTCGTGTATATGATCACACAGCTTCACCGTTTTCCCGAAACGCTAACAATCACGAATGAAATAGAATCTTTAAAGTACTTAACAGGTGCAACACTCTGGTGCCTTTTAACCACTCCCACACGGGCCTCCCACGGCAAAGGTACCTAAGGAACATTACGTTCCAATGCACTAAAATCTTTATATTTCCTAGAAAAAATTACTAAACTGTCAAAAAGTGCGTTGTGTTGCTCGAAAAAGAAATTTAAAAGTATACTTATTCATGTAAACAAATAAAATTTTAAATTGATTGATCACCTTGTTGGCGCAGTCGAAACATGTAGTGACAACTTTACTTATAACATTCATAAGATGTTTGGTTTCTTGTATTACGTTGTCTACTTTGCTGAAGGTTGCTGCACGCCCAACCGTGGGTTCCTTCACGGTAAATTGTAGCTGTTGGACGTACGTCGGGACTTTGTCTAGATGCTCTAGAAGTTCTTTCTTTGTAGCCCCCGCAGGCACCTATAGATAAAGATATTACTTGAAACATCGATGCTTGAAATAAACTTGAGTTCCTTAAGTACTTTGTAAATTAAGATAATATTAAGTATTACTAGAACTAAAAAATATTGATTAAAAGTCATGATTACCTGATAAGAAAATTGTCTAACAATTTTATATAATCTATTAGCTTCTTCCGCGAAGTACTCAGCCTGTGTGAAGAGGTCTTGAGTAGTGTTTAGTCGGCCCTCACCTTTTGTGAATTGGTACATAGCGAAGGCCATGGAAGACATATTTTTTGCCCTGGAGATATAGAAACATACATCACCTTCACAAATACTTATGATTCCTTACCATTACAAAGTATCACTGAACTTACCTCTTCACGATGTCGTTGTTTTCATCGGCAGCAGCACCTTGCCACTTTTCAGTTTCTGCATCCATTTCTGATGACATCATTTTCATTTCAAGGCCAGATTTTGCGATCTTCGCTTGTTCGTCAGAATCCAGTCTAACCGCTTTTAAAGGTTTACTCGTCGTTCCATGTTTCTGTTTATAAAATTGATTATTGTTAATTCAATCAAATTCATAAAAGTCATTACTACTTGCAAAAAGAACTAACCCCAGGCCTTGGCAAACTGCTATATTGTTGTTTGTCGGGTCTGTCGTCTGTGAGGTCAAGAAGTTCTCGGGCGAGCCTCGCAGCATCAGCGAGTAACCACGCCCACATATCTACGAATACGTCGAGGTTCTCCCTCGCCGCGGCACTGTTAGGGTGAGCTGCCAACGTTCGCGCCGCCGTCACCACTTGTGGACCGTATATTCTAAGATTGATTTCTGCAAACTTTGCACTGACTTGTAATGTTTCTGACATCGCTATATGTCTGAGTAATTTGCAAACCTGTAGGATAAAAATTGATAATAAATGATTGGTTTACGAATACATGTACATTGTCTACCACGCATATAATTTACCTCTATTATGTGATCTAATTGTTCATGAAGCCGGCTGGCTATATTGTGCAGTCTCTCTGATTCTCTCTCACCACAGGAACTAGCTGCAAGGTAAAATACAAGTACAAATTGTCTAAAATATTATGTACAAATTGAAGCTAAAAAAAATTAGTATTAATAGTTAATAAATGGACACGAACATTGTTTACCTATATATGCAAGGTCCGAGGCGAGTCGTTTTGCCTCGTCAGCAAGCGGGGCCAAGTCTCTTGCCTGGTCACGTGCTGCGGCGACCAGTGCACGCTCCAGCTCAGAAGCAGCACCCGTCGCCCCAGTACACGCACTTTCAAGTGCCGTAGCACCTCCACCTGCTCCTTGCTCTTCCTAAAATAATTACTCTCTAAAATGTTTAGGAAACTGAGTAACAACTATAATGAGAAAATAATTTCTCACCAGGGACACCGCGACAGCAACTAATCTTTCCAATTCATACGCTATTCTTTCGGCAAGCGCGAGTATCCGTTGTCGGTGTTCATGCGAGGTGTAGGCGGAGTCGGTGAAATCGTGAGTGCGTTCGACAAGAGCTCGAAGTGTGCCAGCGAGGGCACGACGCCGAGCTGCATCGGCGCCGCCGCGCGCTCTTGCCGTCCGCACCTGGCCCGTCAAACCACGGAGCGCACCGAGCGCAGTGCCTGCTTCCCACTGTGCAGCCTATATGTAACACTAACTTTATTATTATGAAATACATGTTGACAATTTGCACGTGATACTCCTACCTTCTTAAGTGTTCAAGTAATAATTAAAAATAAATCAAAAACCCAACTGCGAAAAGTCAATTTAAAGGTAATGCGCTAAAGAGACCAAAACAGCACGAGGTCCGACACAAACATGGTCTATTTATTCGCAACCAAAAATCTTTGTAAACCCAATATATTATTACTAATTAAATTTTAATATACAACTGATTTATATTTTTGTAATCCCCTTTTTAATTGGTTAACTTTATTATTAACGTATTACTATTTTATGCAAAAAATCAGCGATTTTCTTTTTTTTCTTTTAAAAGGTCATCCAAGGAAACGGTTCGGACTGACGGAAAGATTTTTAAGACGTCCGTCTCAAAAAACCCAGAGGGCCTTAACTGTCTTACAATACCTTAACTGTCGAAATCTATCCATCCATTTGGAAGATACCAGGTAATAAAGAAATGTAAACATACACAAATTTCTTTAAACATACAAGATACGCGCGACAACATAACAACGCTTCCCTGGCAATCGGGTAAAAATACGTATTGTAGGTATAGACGTTATCATTCGGTGAAAGTACTAATCACAGTGGATAATGTTCGGCATTTATTCAACAAAACTACGTTTTCTAATAAGCATGTTTCTATTATGTTTTTTAAAGGTCTAACGGAATTACTATTTAAAAATGTTGATGACAGGCTTTATTGTACATAACATTTACTCACCGGTTTAAAGCTGTATCTACCTAAACCAAATGTTGAATACGTACCTATAACATTAATAACGCCGCATGAAGCTTAGCCAGGCCATTAATCCTAAGCTGTTCTGCGTGGTGTTAGCAATTTTTAGTGGTAAGTCAAAAGTCTTAAATTTAAAGTATACAAAACTATTACTACTTTATAGCAAACATAGGTGCTGTTTACATAATTGGCAAAATGGAATGCTTCCTCAATTTCGGGAGTTTCTGAAAGATTTTAGTGCATATTCGGAGGACGTGTTGAAGATGAAAGAATTGACTTGGACTATTTAAAATCTCACATCAAGAAAAGTACATGAAAAGAAGTAAAAAGAAAATGAAAAAAAAGGAACTATAATTATTTATGCAAATATAGTTGAATATCATTTATGAGGAAGCAAGTTGCATACTTTCTAATTTACTTGGGTCACAAAACAATATCATGTAAATAAAGCATACAAGAAGAATAAGTCTAGTGCATATTATGTACAACAATTGTAATTTTAAAAATAATGAAGTCAACTACCTGCGGTTAGTAATTTATACCTGCTCATGACTATCCGAGAAAGGTTTCATCTACAAGAAAAGAAATAAAATAGTGAATAATTAGATCATAGATAGATCATCAGTCGAGAATTAGAGTTAAAAAGAATCATAGAGCGACGAAGATATTGAGGAATGTTCAGCGAAAGAAAAAGTAGGCATTCTTTTTAGTCTCTATAAAAAGAATAGATCAGAATGAAGTACCTGTCTAATCTACTTACCATACTCCTATTAGTAGAAGTTTATGTTAGACTGATCGCTTTCGTAAATATTATCAGGTTAGCAATGTCGCCTGATTTGCTCAGAAAACGTTCTTTACACGTTTTTTGGGTTTGCTTTTAATTGCGCTTAATAAAATAAATGACGAATATATCTGTGTCCTGAAAACAGACAGTCTAGTTTCACATAAGATACGAGTAACTATATCACAGAGACATATCAGTATCCAGTGGAAGCTTATTGTGTCTTTATATTTTTAATCAAGCGGATAACTGAAGACTGTCCATCGTGATGATATCACGACGTCACGAGATATAGTCCATGGCCTGCTCGGTGTTACGATGGTCTTATCGTTCTTAATTAACTATTCTAGTTGCTCATTGACACAGCAAACGTCAGTTTCGAAGAGCAATCATGATAGGTACTAAAGTCAGTGTTGAGTAAAGGTAACATACAGGTAATAGGATCAAGAAATAATTGAAATTCGGTATAATAAATAACCCTGTCAGTTTGAACGATTTTTATAGGTACATGAAAGATGTTGGTCTTAAATAGTAAAACACCATATTAATATACATGTGGCACAATTATTTTTGCCGTACGCCAAGGACTCATTGGGAATTTACTTTAGAGTTACGCGGTGTTTCGTCAAGAAAGAGTAAATATTACGTCTTTGTCAACTCTCAAAAATAGGTAACCTTAAGTGCCCTTTCGATCTAAGATTTCTTTATAGAATTTAAAATACATATTATTACACGTGGTACATATTACGCCGGATTGGTGGGTTTAAATCCCGTCTTATTTTCTTTGTAGTGTCTATTTTATGGGACGCACAGCTAGTATTCTTCTTGTGTGTGTAGTATAGAGATTTATGTGATGAGATCCGATTTAACTTCACACATACATAAATGTGAACTATTTTAACGCTTACAATATCCATATGACTTATATAACTAGATTCACTGTAACATTGTTATTAATATGTAATTTCTATTTTTTTTTGGTTTAATTGATCAAGAGCTTCATAAAATAATAGGATTTTAATGAATGTTCCATTACATTGAAAGTTTAGGTTTTGAACCCCGTTTTAAATGAAGGGATCCTTTGTAGCCTTCATTGAGTTTATTATTCAAATTAATCATTCTTATTCAATACTAATATAATAATGCTGAAGATTTTTTTATTTGATGATTAGTGCATTCCGTGTGGTGACGGATTGTGAAATCGGAGTGTCACCACCGCTATTCATCCCGTGGGTGTCGTAAGAGCCGACTAAGAGAGCGATCTATGTAGGACAAAAGCACTACAAAGAGAAGGAAAATTTAAAATATATTAACAAACCCTATAACAATCCGTCTGGCCAGCGTGGGAAAGGCCAAAACCTCCGGTCTAAGTAGAGGCCTATATATCCAGCAGTGGACTATTAGAGACTGTTGATGTGATGTGATGCGATTGTTTGTATAAGCGTGCTAATAACTATCTGTCGGTTTTCAAAGTTTGCCATTTAGAAACGAAGCAGTAAATGCAGATAAAACTGCGGCTAGTTTTTATTAAGGTAAGCATTTTTTAACACGAATTCAACAAAACAAAGAGTATATCTAAAGTATATATATAGATAAATAAAAAGCAGAGCCAATCGGCAGCTTTGAAATAATAAAAAAATGTTTTTCAGCTATTTTATGGAATAGTATAATAGAATTCTTTGAAAACAGCGTATAATAAGAATTGATGTTAAAACTTTCCGTCCGGCATTCAAATCAATACGTTTAAAGATGGAAGTTTTGTTCTAAACGGATTGTTAACTAAATTTTTACTATTAATAAATAGCAGTGCACGTTATAAAAGTCGACATATTTGATAAGTAGGTAACTCGCTGAGTAGCTACGGAAGTTCTTCCGGTTGGCGTCGCTAGTCGGGGAAGCCTCTCTAGTGTTTCATGTAATATAACACTACGTACTTATGTCGTCATACACTTATAGCCCCGAACTTCAGTCTCTAGACTCAACGTACTTTAATCTTCTTTTAAATGTAAATTGGGACTATGCCATAACTGGACCTCAAAAGTAAACAGGATATAAGCAAAAGTTAATTGATTAAAAAAATGATTGAAACACATATCAAAAGTATAGATACGTGATAAGTAATAAACAAGTCTTAAATAGTCTATAAAGTTATTGGATTGACACGGATTATCTTACATTTGTATTATTTAGTTGAATTAATATGATAATATTATGTCATGTTTGTACTATTAGAGTTTAAAAAGGCATTCATATTACAATAAATAAATAGTATTAAATAAATAGTATTATAGTAATAAATAAATATATGTATGATAATATTAAAATAAATGAATATATAATTTTCTTTCTCTCTCTCCCTATAGTTATTCGAATGTAAGATTAAAACATAACAAATTATTATTATTATGATACAATACGTTTGTCCATTAATCATTTGACTAGTTAAATTTTAAATAGCTAAGGCGTATTATTTTTTGTGTTCTAGCTTTGAGACTAAAAAGTGTAAAATTTTGGCAATCGAAGTCAGTGATAAACAAGTAAAATTAATATAACTCAAAGATGGCAATTTTGAATTTTCAATTACTTAATACATTTTTTCTTATGTTTGTCAAATAAATAAACGTTCAGAATACGAACTTAACTAGTCGTTGTTATAGAAGTTAATATTTTAAATCTAAAGATGTTTAACCCATTGCTTATTAATTTCATCAAATCATCAAGCTCATAAAAATTAATAATATAAAACTGAAATAAATTTGATAGCAGTCCTAGTAAAGGGTGTGGTGTACGATTATAAATACTCTCTGTACAAGTGTAATAACATTTCTGTGTAAAATGTGTTGGCTACACTCTAGAATAGCTTAGTGCCGGCATCTCTATGTTAAACTTGTTTAGTGGGGGACATATACTTCATCGTCGGTAAATCGGTCTTAGATACTTGTCTAATGATTTCCCAGTTTATGTTCTACATGCGATATTACACATGAAAAGAGAGCAATAGTGCTATATTATTTCTTAACTTAGTATCAGTTTGCTATACTTTTGCGAAGTGTAAGGTGATTCAAGTTATCATTATTATTCTTTATATTTCACATTTAATGTTTTCTACTTAAGATAGAGATATAAGATATAGAGAAATAAGTTACTCTGTAGTAAACGATACTTTCTATGTATTTACCTATATGTAGTATAAGTTCCGATATTCTATAGATTGGTATTTTGGTTTGGACGAAAATTGAAGTCTGGTAAGTATTTTGCTAATTGCTCATAATGTTTATTTTACATTTGTTTCTATTTGCCAAATTATTCGTTAGTAACCAATATTATATAAAAAAAAACAGTACCTTCCTAGGAAGCCCCAGGATTCAATGTATAGGTATATCGAAAGAATGATTTAGACTTTAAGTAAAGTAAGGTAGGAATTCAGTATTAGAGCTTTAGGGTAAACACTTTAATAAATGGTAAAAACATTTAAACATTTTCATTGTCTAAATACTATATTTTCTCTTCTCTGCTCTAAATCTAGTTTAATCCAAAGTCAAGCATAAACTATTTATCGTAGTAACTTGTCTTTAGAGTAGCAGGTATTTAGTGCAGTTTAGAATTGTGCGTGCATATTCAGAGATAGGCGAGAGAAGTACTTAGGTACGTCAAACGGTTTTCCGTTTCACAAGGAGAGTGAAGTAGCTTTGAATAGAAGGATTATTTTTGTACTCAAAAAATATATGTGCAAGAATATGTGTCAAACCTCATGCGCGTGTTCTTCATGTCCTGGCAGTCCGTCTCTCACAACGTAGTGAATAAGATCCATGGCCCGCCGCATCTGACAGAACACCGTGTCGCGGTTTTCTCTCGCAGATGCGCTCCCTGGATGCCTTAGACAAGCCTGGTAAAAATACACACATTGAAGTAGTAATAAAAGACAACGTAGAAAGTACATATTCCAAGAACTTATTTTGTCTATAGTTCATGCAGTTCATGTTAATATAACATGCAGTTTCTTATTATCACGCTTCTTAAAAAAAGAGTGTTGTGTGTTTGTTGAAAGTACTGAGTGTCATATACATATCGCTCATATATTTGAATTACATATTATAGATATATAGTAATATAGGCAGCAGATTGAAATTAAAACCCTCAATTGAATTTTTTGCATACTACTTATTTTTTAATACGCGTTCCCAAATAACTTACAACTAATTATTAGGTAATACGGGTATGTAACTACTTAGTAAACCTGTGACAGCGTGCAAAGTGGTCGATCGTTCAGGCAATTCACAGGTATGTAATACATAGGTACTACATAGTTTTGAATTGTCTAAACAAATAATACGTAATTTTTAATTTTTAGTTTTAATTCACGTATTATTAATTATATATTCACAATTCAAACATAAATGTTCTTTCTCTGGCCCGTAACATTCGCAATGTTGGTTTGTATGTTTGTGAAGTTCCTTTCGCATAGAAATTTTGTCTATTAAAGACAATGTAGACTCTTTTACTTGTGAATATTTTTGGATACAAAATGCTCTTGAAACGGTGTTACAGTGTTCTGAGATACAAATGATATTTATAATACAAGAGTCAACAAGACAGTTTAATACTAAAACTCTGTGATTGTATATATTGCTGTATTTTTTATTTATTATACTTCATACATACATATTATCTAAGCAAGGAAATGTCAAAATTGCTCCGCTTGTGAGAAGTCAAAGTAAATTAATAAAGTTAAATGGATATTGTTCAATATTATCTGCTCCCTACAGTTCTTGCCCATCCCATAATTATGGGCCTTTCCATCCTAAGCCCAGCATCGTGAAACGGTAATTGGTAATTTACAATTCACTATTTTGACTAAAAATTTCAGTTTTGATAAAAATACGACTTAGGGTTAGGGAATCAGCCATGCTCTAAACACACAAAGAAAAGGTCCATAAAGACAACTGTCTTAATTAAGTAGCACATATTAGTTAAGAAAATTCTAAACATTTTTATTGTTGCATCATTCCAAGCTTGATTGGCAGCAAATGACTTAGGAATTATCTCCGAAACATGTGAATAAAGTATAAAAAATAAAGGTTAGTGTATATCTTGTGATACACAATATAAAGACATTATTGTACCTTTTTCCTTGGCTTTTTTTGCTTAACGGCCTAAAAAAATACTGACAATCTAAGTTAGTAGAACGCTCATTTCTAATCTCTTACCTTTAATATTCCAGCCAGTGTTTTTCAAAGTGTGTATTAATTATTCTTATACTAACATTAGGCCTAGGTGATTGTAGGCATTTAGAACAACTACTGCAGTACCAGGTAATTTGTGATCTTTATTCTATAGTAGTATTCTACAACTTTTTAAGACATTTCTGTATTCCTAGAAATACTTTTAATTAACTTTTTAAATTAAATTAAATTCTAAATTAAAAAAACTTGTAATAACTACATATCGTAACTGTTTCGATAAACAATTGAATAACGACTTAACAGATTCACGAGATCAAAGCTCCAGTTCACAACTAGCACAAAGTTTTTTCTATTAATGACCACATGGCATGTTGTCAACTGCAACTGTGACCTTATTCGGACATGCGGTTGACATCTTTCTACAAGTTCTTCTAACATTGGTTACGGATTGGAAGTTATGAAACCAATGTTTATGGAATCAAAAAACTTAAGAAGTTTTATCAGATACACTTAAATTAAAATTAAATACCTAGCTTAATATTATTTTCGTGTTATCTACACGAATAAAGAAAATGTCTGTTTGTTATGTCAAAATAATAGGTTTCTATCATGCTCACAAGATTATTTGCACAATACCTATGCCTAAACCCCAGTTTAACTATTTTTTGTTTGTCTGTCTGTCGGTCTGTCTGTCTGTCTGAGTAAGCTTCAAAACGGTTTTATCGATATTGATTATATTTTACTACCAGGTGGTTGTCTATATATGGAGTAACTTAGACTATTTTTTCTCTCAGAAAAACCCTATACATTTTACCCGGTCCGGGAATCTAACCCGAGATCTCATGGACTGTAGTTGAGTACCGTACTACACCACTAAGGTAGCGCTTTTCAAATTCTACGCGAACGAAGTCGTGGGTACCAGCTTGTCGAATTATAAATGTAAATTTAAATTGTGTTAATAGATCAGCAATTATATAATGTTAGTACATTATAGTTAATAGATACGAATCACAGTCTAGTGACTGTGATAATTGTAGTTCTTTGTTACACTGTGAATCAAATAATAATGTAGACTTAAACTCATTCTACTTCATATGTGAGTATGACAGTATCAAATATACAGTTACAATCACAAGATATTGCTAACTCATTAGCAAAGCTCTACTCAGTGAGGACATCTATTTTAGGTGTAACTTCTTAATGATTCATTAGAGTTACTAGGAAATTAACAACTCGAAAAGCAGTCCACTAAGTTATTTTCGTGTGAAAGTAATCCCTAAGCTCATAAATGTATATCCACCAATGTAACAATACTGTTATTGAAAGAGTATCTATTAATTTTCTTGTAAGGTATTCAATAGATACTAATAATTATAATTGATTGATTACTAAATTATAAGGTGTACCTTTAACGCAACATTATTTTGTACATCATAAATATTTTATTATTTCGAAGTTGGATTAATTCCATTAGGTGATTGATGGTTCTGAAACGCCCTGGCGCGTATTAAACAACAAAATGGCGATAATCTAAAGAGACGATAAATAGTGCTATAATGTGGTTCAATTAGGTAAGAGACGAGACGGATGACCCAGTACTACAATAAAACCCTAACAGCGTAAAGTGTAAATCGCACCTCCTCAAAGTACTTCATTAAAGTTTAATCAGCGTAACAAAACACCCTTAGTCTTAAGTACCGCGCAAAGCCCAGTTGTACCTTATATACTTTGCAGAACACCGTAAGACATAGACGGCCATCTTATATTACGTGATACTGACGCCACGGCATGCAACTACCACTGTGTAATTAGAAAAATATAGAGAGCTATTGCTACTTGCTCAGTAGATAAACTGACATAAATATTGTCGCTACATGAAAGGTACACTAAATAAATGGTAGTTCAAACTTCAAAGAAGACTTTTATCAATGTCGTACATCTAGTGTAGGGCGGTGGAAAAAAGAAAAGTCTTGTAAAATATGTCATGTGAATGGTTGGGAGGCATCGGCAGCGCGGTCGTGGCACGCTCGCCCGGAAGTGCTGACAAATTGCTAGCTTTGCCACACAGTCACATCGCTCACTGCGGTTGTTCATTCTACCTTCTCATGACACAATCACGGTCGACGCTCACCTCTCTTCGTAAAATATTTTGTAATGACTTTTTTTAAGTTTAACATAATTATGTAGTTCATTTCCAAACCTCCGTTCCAAGGAGAGGCCTATGTCCAGCAGTGGACTGGTAAAGGCTGTTGATGATGTAGTTCATTTTCTTAAAGGGTATGACAAGCAATCGTGTTGTGTTCTTCTTATAATTAATTAGATACAATTTAATGTAGCAATCAATATTACATTAATATTTTTAATTACCAATGTTTTAGGAGTTATGTGTCACAGAAAAATGGTTGACTTGGCTTGTAAACAATTTTATATTGAAATTTTCTTTTGAACTACTTTCTTAAAATAATGCTTTTACTGCTTAGAAAATGAGTAACAATAATAATTATAATATGCATATTTAATGAAATAAAGAGAATAATAATAATATTATTATAGTATTTAATAGGTTGTTGTTTAGACACATTTCCAGAAGGAAATGTCTCTAAACAACAAACTATGAATTTGGATGTCAATTTGATTAAATGTTTTTTTATGTTCCTAGGCAATCAGATCATTGAATCACTTTATTTATGCATCACGAGATGCACTTATTTAGTGAGAATAAATGTATATTGATGAACCTCCATTGATTATAAAGATGTATGACAAAGGAGAGTTTATAAATATAGGTGTCACAAACAGCGTATTGTGGTCCCGAATTGTGTTGAAGCTTACATAATTGATAGGTGGAACAGCGGCCAAGCGACATTGCTAATTTACGCGAGCCGTGGGACTCACCGGACGCTGGGATTGAAAATTTATCTCCATCCATTGCTGTTAATAACATCCTAACAGTAAGTCAAGGTGTTTTATTACCTACGGGCTTTTTTCAACTCAATGTGGTAAAACATGACCGTAATATGATTCCCCAATTACAAGAAGAATAAAAAGTCCTATAATCGACATTTGCTTTATTCATTTACCTATTGTTCTGTTAATTGGTCTAAAAGAACAGAAGTTGATTATAACAATATCAAATGATATACCACATACTCGTATGTTTAATATGTATATTTAATATTGAATTTGGTGATATAAAATAGTTTTCTTTATAGACGTTTCGCATGTATTGTAGTTAGCAGATTTCATAATTAGCAATACTAACCTTCGAAGAAGTAAGGAGCATGAGCGTGGAACGTTCGAGAACATTTCTAGCTGCGGCGACCTGTGCCCGTCTCCGCTCGTCTCGTAAGTCAGCTCTTCGCTCTGCCGTCAACCTGGCTAGCTCCACCATGCCGCCACCGAACTCCGTAAAAGCACGCACGAATTCCGCAAAGTTTGAAACTGATTCCAACCGATCAAGCGACCGCGCTACCTGCGTTACAAAGGTAGCCACAATAACATAGTCAACACTATTTAAACATATTTTAAATTAAAGAATAAGATTTGCTTCTCACCGTGACCTGTTAAGACAAATAACTCAATTAATAATGGCAAGCCCCCATAACATACATAGTCACAGATATGTATAAATCGTTCAAACAATTCACTTACCGTTATCAAATGTAAATGCTCGTGCGTTACGACATTTGAGACCGGGAATACTATGTTGTACCGCTTGAATTTACCGTTCTCCTTTATTCGACAAATAGGTCATGTCCTTGTTTTGGGACAGAGGTAAAACGGTCGTCTATTTCGGGTTAGATGGTATTTCCATATAGCTTTGTGTATTTATCGGCTACCCTTGGATTAGTTGGCAGAATTTTCATTATGTAAGGATGGATTAGCCGTTATCAGTGGCAATCACATCAATATATATTTTTTTTGATTTTAGAAGTTACAATTTTAATTTTGTAGTTTGAGATGGGGAGGAATGGCAATAATTTTTAAATCATATATATACAAAATCTAGAAATGAATAATAAGAATATAACACTGCAGTGGTTACCTGCACATATTGGATTGACCGAGAATGAGACAGTTGATAGATTAGCTAAGGAATCTCTCGTTGATGGTTTAGATTTTGCATATTTGCCATATTATTCTGATTTATTGTATGTGGTTAAGAATCGCTGTTTTCAACTATGGGCAGAATATTTCGATAAAAGATCGCTAACTAAAGGTATTTGGTATCGAACCATTCAGCCTACCATAACTTAAACATCCCTGGATCGATCAAGCCAATATGAGCAGGTCAGACATGATCATGGCATGAGCATGGCATGACTTCGTTCCGGACACATCCCACTGAACAGCTTTGCACATTTAATTGGTAAAGTCGATTCCCCCAACTGCTCATTATGTAACAAAGTAGAAGATGTACACCATATTCTGATGGAGTGTCTCCGGAACGAACCCGAAAGAAAACAATTATTTTGTGAACCTAACTTTAATATTGGTATATGTAATAGCATTCTCGCGCTCCCCTTCTCGGAGAAAGCGAGAGCGCTGTATTATATAGCTAAAATTTGTATGCTTAATAGATTTTAAATAATGTTCTCCTATGAGGGCGGCATAATCACTTCGCGACTAAGCCCTCGTTAAATCAATAAAGAGAAAAAAAAAAAAAAAAAAAAAAAAACATATATATAATGTCATAAATGTCAAATTTTCATTGTCGTTCATAAACGATAAACAAGAAATTATGAGAGTAACATCATCATCAACAGCCTATTACAGTCCACTGCTGGACATAGGCCTCTCCTTAGAAAGGAGGTCTTGGCCTACTATACCACGCTGGCCCAAACGGGTTGGCCAAATGAGAGTAACGAAAGTACCTTATCCTTGGCGAGGAGTAGTTGTCGCACGACGACCATGTCTGCGAGTAGCAAGACTCTTGTTACCGCAGAAAGCAGCGCTCGTGCCGCCGAAACCATGCCAGCGCCGTCAGCGCCCGCGCACACTCGCTCAATCGCGCGACCTGTGTAAAAACAATCAAAACTCATAAGAATTGTTTATGTTTTCATAGGTATATCTATCTATATATATTTATTTATGCCCATAGGAAGTCGAAAGTACCCAGAAGGGTCTTTTATATAGTTTTTAATCTATTGTTGTGTATTTTATTTGCAAACAATTCCTTATTCCTCATATCTATATTAATATTATAAAGCCGAAGAGTTTACTTGTTTGGTATAACGCGCTAATCCCAGGAACGACGGCTTCAAATCGAAAAATTATTTTAGTGTTGGATATTCCATTTATCGAGGAAGGTTATATAGGCTATAACATCCTGCTAGTACCAAAAGAAGCCGCCCATTAATAAAAAATGTAAAATGTTGAAAAAACAGTGAAAATTTATTCCTTTTGAAAGACGCAGACGAAGTTACGCAGGTCAGCTAGTTTCTACTTTTTAAACATTGAGGGTACTCGTATTAGCAGTGATTACTCTTAATTTTGCTACTCCGTACTCGTAATCGGTGTGGTGACGGATTAACAATACTTAGTATCACCACCCCTATTTATCCCGTAAGTGTCGTACCTAAGTGCCGACTAAGGGACCAAACTACGCAGGACAATAGCACTGCAAAAATAAGGAAAACTTGACACAAACCCTTTTTTTTTTTTTTTTTTTAACGTGTGGAAATCCCCTCGGACCGTCACCCCTCCCTACCCTACCGTCAACCCTATACCAACCCGTCTGCACAGAGTTCCTTTTTAAGGAGATGTAAAATCCAGCAGTAGACTATTATAGGCTGTTGTTGATGATGATAATGATGACTCTTAATTTTTGCAAGACTTCAAATGTCGTGTATGTTACAACGTGGGTCATAAGAGTTTGAGCGTTGTGGCAAATTAAATGTGAGATTGTTAGCAGCCAGTAGCAGACACGAATTTAATTTAAACTTGCAACAACATGTTTATTGCTGGATTTTTTTTTGAACTTAAACTTCTATTATAACTCCATTCATCGTACGAAACCGCTAAAAATTATATTGTAGCGCTACAAAGTAACACGTCACAAAATGTTAATGTTTTCCCTTTTTGTTTAATTCATGTTCTCTTTGATATAACCCATAAAAACTAGACTTGCAGGCGGGCGTATTGTTTTCAATAATAAAAAAATTGAATAGTTTCGTGGTCGCTTACACATTAATATAATCAACAGATTCTAATATTCCACTGCTGGACATAGGCATCTCCTTAGAAAAGAGTAGGTTTGGGTAGTAGGTTTGAGTAGGACCACGCTGGTCAGACGGGTTGGGTTGGGCCGGTAGGGTTTGTTTCAAGTTTGCCTTCTTTTTGCAGTTCTGTTGTCCTGCAGAGTCTGTTCTCTGAGTCGGCTCTTACGACACCCACGGGATGTATATGGGTGGTGACACTCTGTATTCTTAATCCGTCACCATACATACGGATTGATATAGTTCAGTGTAAGGATATATCGTCTAAGTTTGATCAGTTAGATGTCGAAGAAGGAAGGTCAGAACAGATTTCTTCTTCAGTCGTCCAAAGATTGAACATTTAAATCAAACGGAAAACACTTTAACTATATAGAAAACAGCACTAGCACTGAATGAATGGTGTAGCGTTGTGTCCATAAAATAATACGGTTTGAACCCCCCCTCATTATTTTTAAAACAGGAAATAGAACCTCAGTTTTGTTGGGCTGTAAACATAAGTTGCATGACAAAGTTGTGTTTTTGGAACAAACGGAAGTAAAGTAGAGGTAAACTTGTATTTATGGCAATTACTTACAATACAGCTATTAGTCCGTCAGTTGGTCTTGATCGTAATTATTATACGGATAACAGTAAGTATGGTGCTATAAACAAAACATAGCGTGTGTACGCTATTTTATAGCTTCGAAGTTAAAGTTAGATACTATTCCGATTAGAACATTTTGCAGATAAACGGTCCGGGTTATCTTAGATATTTACAATGAGATTATATACATATAGAGAACCTTATATTCTTGATACCTTTTGTATGAAAATGTATAGAGTCGAAATTAAAAAATAAATAAATATTAATTTAATTTTAATTTTAAATGTCCTCTCCCACTCCAAATACATTGCGTTTAATTTAGTTTAGTTATAAAAATACATTAAAATATCACAAATACATAAAAATATCCTAGTGTCCGTTTCATCGTCTGTGGAAGGTGAGTTGCCGAACTATCATTATAGCTTCAAATATGATAAACAGCTTATTGCTTAAAACGCACGGCAAAGTATTTATAAATGCGATAGATAGATGTGAAAAGAGCAGTTGATAAATACTGTCGCTGTATTTTCACACGCAACAGGTATTAGGTTGTGGAGAAACAGAAATCAAGAATTGAGATGTAAAAAGATCTAAGTTCATGAAATGTGCTTTGTTCGAATAGGGTTCGTGTCTTAAGGAGAACAATTCCATTTTTGAAAATCATCTCATAATTTAGTAAATTTAGTAATTCTTCTTCAATATGTCTTCGTCAAAACCATTTGATTAATTCTATTATTATCAAAACCAATGTAGGCAGCCATTTCTGAGCTACTAAAATCCATAGATACATATATGTACATAAGATAACATAATAGATAAGTATCAAAATTATAACACTTCCATCAAACAAATAACAATGAAGTAATATATGGTATTTAATATAACTCTGCTAAAATAATTATTGAGCTTAAACCTCAACAATGGCGGTCACAAAACACAGGTGTTCTAATGTTATTTTAAACGAGCAATTTGTTTAAAATATTAGTATTTAGTGCTTTCACTGCGGCAATTTAGCTCCCGCTGTTACAGCGGTGCCTTAATTTACTGTTTTATTCTGAGTATAAATATTCTCGCCTCCCTTCCTGTAGGGGGCGGCGATAGTGCATCCGACTACTACCTCTGAGTTCGCGGGTTGGAACTTCTCGTAGTACAAATATTTCAATGCATAAACACGTCTATTTGCATTGCATAAATCTTAGTTTCTTTATTATTCTCTTTTATTTATTTCGTTTCTTACAAAAGTATTCGAAATATATAAGAAACCCTTAAAAAAGGTTAAACAATACGATGTTATAGACAGATATACGGCTACACATAGATTGATTGATGATTTCTATTTAGGCATCAATTTCACCTTCTTGGTCGGAATGATTATACGTACAACTGTTCACGGTACTTTTTAGCTGTATACCTACCGTGTACACATAGAAGATGAGCTTGTTAGAAATTAATGATCACATACCTTCACGCCAAAGAGGAACTTGTGAGAAAGCATATCTAAGAGTCCTGGATAAGTTTTCGAAGTTGTTTAAACTCTGTCAACCCGCTTTCATTAGCTGTAGAGAATTATGGTCTTGTTTTAGTTACTGAGGATGCTTTTGTTTAACTGTTGTGATGTTAAATAAAATAAATTTGACTTTAACATTCTATCCGCAGATTTTTTGCAACTAATAAGTAATTCGTGCTCTAAAATAAATCTTGATTATATTACAAATAGGAACGCCAAGGTTTAGAGTTGACAAACTTTTAAAAGTGAAATGTGTCTAGATTTTAATCTTCACATAAATAAGTTAGCGAAATGGAACGAACGCTAGTCTGGTGGAGTAAAGTGCAATCAAACGTGTACGTGTTTTGGTTCAACGAGCGTCCCGGGTGGCCGTGTGGCGCTTATATTGGTGTGCTTGGACCCATCGGTGGCACGGGCTGACCTCAATAGCTTCTAACTTGTAATGAGAGTTCACACCGGACCTACATTACTTAGGAACTTCAAACACTGAGAGAGACACTGAGAAAATACCTTATCAACATTAGTGTCGAAAATCTCTACAGCTCCAATTATCGTCGAGAGTCACTAAATAGAATAAGTAATAATATGTGGAGGTCTCTTTTATTATAGTGTACAGGATCAACATTTACGCTTTATGTAGATGTTGATATGTTTGTCCGTGTAGTGACGGATTAAAAATACGGAGTGTCGCCACCCCTATTCATCCCGTGGGTGTCGTAAGAGCCGACTAAGGGAGCGACCTCGACAGGATAACAGCACTGCAAAGAGTAAGAAAACTTGAAACCAAACCTTAATACCAACCCGTCTGGCCAGGTCTCTTTCATTGCGGTATACAGGATCAATAGTTACGCTGTATGTGGATGTTGCCACAAGAACCTACAATAGATAGCATATTTTAACATTTACTTAAAAATAATAATTCTGCTTACAAATAAATAAAAAATCTTAAGCGACTACGCGAAACTTTAAGTAACGTATGTCTAAAGATATCCGTATTATGAGTAAGTCATTTTACAGTGATTGCCCGGTAGGATCGACCGGAAGCTATCTTTTACTAGTCATGGTATGGCTTTAGTGATAAAATCAATCTATTTAATAGAAAAGCTATGCATCGCACGTTTTCGTTTTCGCGTCGTTTATACCTTAGGGGTCAAGGAGACGCGTGCCCGGGGCGACACGGGGCTAGGGTCAACAGTCTAGCTGCTATTCATAGCCGTTACCTAACCAATATTATTTACTGTCCCTTTGACCTTTTAAGATAAATGAAGAAACCTCATATCAACACCACACGGAATATTAAAATTCATTATTAGTTAGCGAACTAATCTTAATTAGCTGTCTTACTTTCGGAATTATGGTGACCTACCTATATTAAAATAATTTAATATATTTCAGGTTCCAAGACACTAAAAGCTGTTACCTATTGTATAAAAAAAAAATACCTGAAGAATTAAAATAAATATAATAGGTTTCAAAATATTTACCTGTAAAATATAATAAAAAAAGCTCAAACAATATAATAGTACAGTATAAGAAATCAAACACTGCAATCGCACTAGTCAGGTTTGACAGTAATTTTTAAATAACGAATGCCATTTCTACAGGCATGAGACAAAAGTGTTTACCGATAACGAAAAACGATATCCACACCTAAATGAAGATATTAACATTAGCAGAAAAACTGGTTGAGAAGGAATCTCGTCAAAAAAACTGGAACGCGATGAAAATTGCTCC